CAAAGAAAACTTTACATCACTGGTTAAACTTGTCTCTTGTTATATGGTTTTCCTATTTTTCTACCTTTTTGTGGTCATCTGAATAATTTGTTATTAAAAGGCTTCTTTCATTGTTAGTTTAATTAGGAAACGGATCCATAACAACTAAGAACCAAATCCAGCTGTGTTGGTTCAGAGGCACCAGGTCCTGCTAGCAGAATATGATGAGGTATTTTAACTCTAATGAAGTCAGTAGTGACTCCCCGTCAGTGCAGTGTTGTGCTACAACACATGGTCACTGAGACTAATGACAGGTTTTCCTCACTGATATTTCTAATAATAATAACAATAAACACAGCTGACACTAATCTTCTTGTAACAATGCTCACACTATTTATATTTTTATTTAGTTCTTGCTGTAGGAAAATTACTATTTTTTCTCTGCTTTTCTTTTGTTTGCTTCAGTATTACTGGGGGATTAAAACATTTTTTCACAGAAGATTAGTTTATTGTGAGTTAATTAAACACAAAGCGTAATTTATTTTTAAAAATTTTTTATCTCCCTGTAGCTGTAGGATTATATATATATATATATATATATATATATATATATATATATATATATATATATATACAATATGTAAACACACACACACACACACACACACACACACACACACACACACACACACTCTCACACATGATCCACTCCCATTCCTCTCTTATCTCTTTGCTTAAATAAACTCTGTGACCAGCTGTTCATGATTTGATTGTATGTTTGCCTCATTGTTTCTTGTCCCTCTCTCTAGCTGCAGGAAATGGGTTTATTGATAAAATCCATGACTCTAATTGCTCCAACAGTTGATCTATTTCCACCAAGTTGCTTGGCGATTACCCCATAGCTTTTTTTAAACCTTGTGAAGGTCCACAGTTTTGTCTCTAGTTTCTTTTGACAGCTCTTTAGTCTTTGGGAGAACTTGCAGAATTGCAGGGTATTCAACTAATGTTCCTCATTGTATCTTAATGCTGAAATTTATAACCCAGCATTTTAGTACTTAGAATATTTTTTTGATACTTATCAGCTATGCAGATGACAATCCACCCTTCATCAAACTGTATATACAGCGTTTATGTGACTACTCACTCATGAAATCAGATTTCAGTGTGTGGTGCTCAGAGTTGTTGTGAGGGGGTATGGTCATGTTGGTGACAACTGTAATACAGGTGTCAGGACTATCACAGAAAACACAAACCAGTAAGGAAATATTAATAGCATAAATACACCATCATAATCATAAAAAACAGTTAAAACAAAATTTTATGCATCAATACTTTTGAAAGTTTATCAGCCATCAACTTGAGAGAAACCATACTTAAACTCGTCGCCGTCTTCCTCCGCTTATCCGGGTCTGGGTTGCGGGGGCAGCATCCCAACTAGGGAGCTCCAGACCGTCCTCTCCCCGGCCACCTCCACCAGCTCCTCCGGCAGGACCCCAAGACGTTCCCCGACCAGATTGGAGATGTAACCTCTCCAACGTGTCCTGGGTCAACCCGGGGGCCTCCTGCCGGCAGGACATGCCCGAAACACCTCCCCGGGGAGGCGTCCAGGAGGCATCCTGACCAGATGCCCAAACCACCTCAACTGGCTCCTTTTGATCCGGAGGAGCAGCGGTTCTACTCCGAGTCCCTCCCGAATGTCCGAGCTCCTCACCCTATCTCTAATGCTGAGCCCCGCCACCCTACGGAGGAAACTCATTTCGGCCGCTTGTATCCACGATCTCGTTCTTTCGGTCATTACCCAAAGCTCATGACCATAGGTGAGGATTGGGACGTAGATCGACTGGTAAATCGAGAGCCTGACTTTCTGGCTCAGCTCCCTCTTCACCACAACAGATCGGCTCAGCGTCCGCATCACTGCAGAGGCTGAACCAATCCGCCTGTTGACAGGAGGATCGACAGTAATTAAACTTTTCAATTTAAATTCTCGAGTGTGATCACCGGAACACATTCCTCTCAATAAACTCAATAGTTTTATTGTCAGGGAGAAGTTTGAACTCAATGTGGGAGCTGGTACAGTTTTCCAAGGCATCATGGAATTTATCAGTGTCAGTGACAGCCCAGACTCCCACCCAGTCCCCAGAAATCTAGTGAAGTAGAAGACAGATGACAAGTCAGAACTGAAGTGTAGGTTAGATTGAATTAAACTTGGTGTTCCACAGGATTCTGTGCTTGTGTCTCTACTTTTTACTTTAAATATATCTCTTTGAGATAATACTCCAGTGCACAAGCCACATGAAACTGATACAGAATGCATGCATTTCTTCTTATTTTCTGTCTAAAATCAGAGAAATAAAGTTTTTGACATTAATGTTCTCTAGCTTTTGAGCCAATTACCGTAGTTTCTTTTGTGCCTGAGGGTGATTCATAAAAATGACCATGTCTCATAATTCTATTATACGAAAACCAAGTCAAGATTTAATTTTACAACTTTATTACACAACCATACGACACCAATAAATTAATTAGATCATACAATGAAGGACTTTAAAAAAATTAATATGGGGTTTAAAATAATTAATAATCCCAGTATTCTGTTGATCACCAGATAAAATAAACGCATTTGTAACATCGTTGCAATGGTAGATCTGAGGTTACATCTTCACTGGGGCCTAACTCACCTTGTGCAGGTTTTTTTGTCGGCAGCCTCTTCGTCAGCCCCTTACACTCTTTGGCGGTTGGTGCTGCGCTGCTGTTGAACACTGAGCAGTAGCAGCAGCACGGATACACTTCCTACATTCATCATATCCTGAGATGAACAACCACTGATTTTTCCAAGCTCAACAGTGAATGGAGGGCATCAGGATAGTTTTTAATGGCTCTGAGCCTTTACTGGCACGGATTCAGTTAGAGCACAGATCATGTATGCTCAGAGAGTTACCTAACTCTCTCCCTCTCTCGCTTTTAAAACAGCTGAGGACAATTAGTTAAATACAGATGTAGCTTTTAGCATTGCTGCAAACAGCTAGTATGGGAACTACTGAAGTGCTACCAAATAATGCTACCCAGATACCTCCCTAAATATAATCCAGTACAAAACGACATGGCTCGGTCAAACACATGCAGATTACTGCAGATCACTTTAATATAAATGTTTTGTTATTCTTCATTGTCACCCACAATGTTCGCCTAAATAAACCAGTAAGATAAATGTTTATTCATTCAGAAAGATGTGATGATTCAGGAGATGAAAGGAAAATTCACTGGGTTGTTTCAGCAAATTAATATTGAGTATCTTGGAAACTTAACAGGTGGATTTACGATTAAAAAAATTCAACAGTAAGACTTTCTGTGTTGAATTTGGCACAACGGTCTGTTTTTGAATGTGATGGGAAGAGAGCCTGTTTGAACCAATCAGAAATTAGAGATTGATGATCTGAAAGTGAGTGACTTCTGATGGAGGACATTAAACTGTAGCTTGTTTTTATCAATTTCTGTAATACTACTACTACTACTACTACTACTACTATTACTAATATTACTTCCTACCATTACAACAACAAAAACAAAAACAACAACAACAACTACTACTACTACTACTACTACTACTACCACTGCTAGTACTATTACTCTCACTAATAATACTTCTTACCATTACAACTACAAAAACAACAACAACAACAACAACAACTACTACTACTACTACCACCACTGCTAGTACTATTACTCTTACCAATACTACTTCCTACTATTACAACTATAAAAACTACTACTACTACTACCACTACTACTACCACTGCTAGTACTATTACTCTTACCAATACTACTTTCTACCATTACAACTATAAAAACTACTACTACTACTACTACCACTACTACTACCACTGCTACTACTATTACTCTTACTAATACTACTTCCTACCATTACAACTATACATACTACTGCTACTACTACTACTACTATTATTACTACTACTACTACTACTACCACTACTACTGCTATCACTGCTTCTACTATTAATCTTACTAATACTACTTCCTACAACTATTAAAATTACTACTACTATTACTACTACCACCACCACTACTTGTACTGTAGTAATGAGTACTACAATAGACATGAATTTGAAATGGATCATTGTAAGAACAATATTCATTTCAAATTCATTGATTTAAGCACAGGTTATTCAAACATTTGATTTACACATCTTGTTCATTCATCACATATACCCGTAAGTTGTAAAAGTTCACTTTTTACTCAGAATGAGGAATCCATCAGTCTGAGATAAGGGAGGAAAGAGTTTTGCGGGAGACCTTGACAATTTATTTATGTCTGCGTTGAAGAACAATAAGTGAGCAAAAGGCTGATTCATGCGTCCGAATCCTCCAGATGGCGTAACCTTGACTTTGCAGCTCTGGCGTGCATGAAAGGTTACTGTGTCAATTCGATGGTGAAAATTGACCCTTTTTATTCATTACAACTACAAAAACTACTACTACAACAACTACTACTATTACTACTACTACTACTACTACTACTACTATTACTACTACTAGTACTACTACTACTACTACTACCAATAATAATAATAATAATAATAATAAGAAAAACCACAACAAAAAGGTTAAGTCTTTTTCTCTCTAAAAGCTGCCATAAATTCTTTCCACCAACAAATAAAATCAACGACATTGATTTAATTGCTATTGAAAAATACATTAAACAGAAGATTTTGGTCAAAAACGTCCTCTCCGAGAATTCACCAACAAAATTCAAACATCTCTCATGTTCTGTTTCTTGAGACTGAGAATTTTCTATCACAAAATAACTCTTTTGGCTTGCTAAATCATCAGCTGTCCCATCATTAGGTATCGTTCCATAAACACGAGGAAACAGTAGTTATATATTAACTGATTATAATTTCATTAAAAGCTCTAAAGAGAAAATAAGTTCATGAGATGTCATGACTGAAATAATGGATGTATTAACTGGAGAGGATCAGGGAGGGACAAAAAACAAGGTTTAAGGGTTCAGAACATATTTTCATTTAACTTTTAATGATGTTTTTTCACATATCGGCTGATCTTTCCACTTTTGATCTACTCAAGATTGACTGGCCTCTGGAGCGGATTTCTTGTGACAAAAATCTGAAAAATAAAAAATAAAAAATAAATAATAGTTTATTAGATGTGTGTGGTGTCCTAGTCAGACCAACATCCTCGCAGAATTCACAAACCTGCCAGTCCGTCGTAAGTATACACTCTGTCGTGAGGGAACTTCAGACACTCGGCCAGTTTCTTAAGATCATTGTGGTGGGTCTTATGATGCTCGACATCGCGGTGTGCTCCTTCCCTCTCTGAAACACAAGATCAATGGTGTTAGCAAAAGCTCATCTCAACCTTTATTCTATTGAAATGAGTGAGTTGCCAGCAAAAAGTGTTTGTGTTACTGTAGATGAGGAGGAATCGTATCGTCGAGGTTTTGTAGGTCATTGCCAGACAGTCATGACAACCCTCGTAAAAGTCCATGTCTCCTGTATCGTTGTACGGCTCAACCTGTCCATCCTTCTCCACTCCTAATTCACAAAACATGAAGAATGCATGCAGATTGTAATCAGAATAATACTGCCAGGAAATACTTGACAGTCAAAGTCAAAAGTCAAAGTCAAAGTTCGTTTGATTTTGACTTGACTTTTTGACTTTGACTTTGACTTTAATCGGCTGACTTGTTTTTATATATAAATCAGTGGCGGCTGGCCAGTAGAGGGTGATAGGGTGCCACCCTCCCAGTTTTCCCCAGTGTTTTTAATTTTTATTCAAAAAAATAAATAAATAAAATTAACAATAATCACATATTCTAAGTTAATTGTGTGATTTGTAACAAAAACAAATCATATATCAATATTGGTGAGAAGCTCTCTGCCGAGCGGTGGAGGCGACAGAAAGGCTGTAGGCTGTGTTTCAATCGCCCAAACAGCACGGAAGCAGCCGGCCAATTGCTGACAAGAAAATCAAACGGTAGAAATGGGAATGTATCTAATCAGTGTCGACGTTGTTTCAGAAGCATGATGGGCGATAGAGGTACCGCCCAAGGCTTTCGTTGGTGTTCGGTAGAACTCGGCAGAGTCTCGACTACTCCAGCACATTTTTGGTCGTGACGCAGATGTAATAGACATGGACGCCGCCAGTGAGCCTACAACCAGCATGGATACCGGATCTCAGCAGCCACTGAATTCAGTTCGGTCTCTTCTCCAGTATCCGTTCGAGAGGAGAACTATGGTGGAAAAACTTAATGTCAAAGAGCTTGGACCAGACCAGCCCGACGTAAGCCAGCAGGAGAAGGAGAGAGGTAAACTGTACACACAGGCTTCTCCCGAAATTTGTACACCAGGAAGGCTTGGCTAGCTGGATGCAATCACGCTAATGTGTTATTTTGCTTTCCGTGTTTGTTATTCAAAACGACTGTGACAGATAAGGCATGGATTGAGTCAGGAGTTACGGACATGAAACATTTTTCTGAGAAGGTGAAGAAACACGAGTTATCCCGGGCACACATGGACAACACGGTGAAGCTAGCTATGCTAGGCAGAGCTAACATTGCCATGCAGCTAGAGACGAGGGGCACAGGCTTGCAGTGAAGAAACACAAGGAAGAAGTGGATCAGAACCGGCACATTTTGTCCAAGAGAGAGGTGTCAACACAGTGTATGAGCACAAGGATGACCTCCTCAGATTTTTCCAGATGATCAGAGACTCGGATGACTTTGATCCAATCACTGAGAGAGAGGCAGGAGGCTTTGTGAGAATGCTGGAGGAAGAAGATTTCGGCTTTCTGCTGGCATTGTGTCACAAGATCATGCCACATGTGGACATGCTGTTCAACCAGCTGCAGAAGAGGAACATTGACTCTGTCTGCATCTGACAGGGGTCATCCAGAGCTTCACCAACAGTATGCAAAAGATCAGGTACACACTTGTTTATTTAATATTATTGTGATGAAATTCTCCAGTATGTTAGTTTCACAAACAGTAACGTGGATGTGGACCATGTATGGTCATGTTATTTTATGTGCAATTTAATGCAGTATTTTTCACCCTTGGTCCGCAAGGCAGTTTGCCAATAGTCAGACACACGTGGATTAATCCCTTTGTCCAATAATGTAAGACAGGAAATTAAAGAGCTGTGCTTAATTCAGGAAATAGTGAAGTTGTGCACAAAGCTCAGAAAGCACAAGTTTGTTAAAAAAAATAGCACAGCCCCACCAAAAATATTTTTCACCAGCTGCCACTGATATAAATGCACCATGGATTATTTAATTGTATTTTAATATTGTGGTGTATAGTTTTGTGTGACTGAACTCACTGATGGAATCGTATTTCAGTGTGTGATGCTCAGCGTCATCAGTGGGTATCGTCATGTTTTCATAGTAGGTAGTACAAGAGTCAAGACTTCCTCTGAAAGCAGGACAGATTAGTCAAACAAAGATCTAAAACAACCTCACACAGTTCTTGGAAGCTGATTACTCACTTGTACACGTTCCTCTCGATGCACTCGAAGGTTTTGTTGCCAGGGAGGAGTTTGAACTCTACATGAGAACTGGAGCAGTTGGCCAGCAAGCTGTGGCCATCCTCATGATCAGCAACGGACCAGACCAGAACCCATTCGCCAAAGATCTACAGGAGGAAAAAAAGGACAAACCAGAGCTTTAAAGTTCAAATCAGGACATGTTTTGTTTAACTGAGAAAACTGAAGCTTTGGAAGGAAACGGGTGAACCACCATTACTGCCTAACTTACCCTGTGCAGGTGCTTTGTTGGCATTCTTTTGGTCACGGTGGAGCAGTGTTCATGGGTTGGTGCAGCGTTAGTGCTGATCGCTGCCAGCAGCAGCAGCAAAAACCCAGGTCCCTTCAACAAGCACATCGTACTCTGGATGAAAAACACACTGAGCTTTTGTCAGGAACCAACAGAAGTGGGAACTGTTTGGTTTATAATGGCTCAGGCCCTGATTACCACAGGGTCAGTCCAAAGATAATGTGTGCTCAGTGGGTTACATAACTTAGGTTCACCCTTTGATTTATTTATTGTTTTTGGTCAGTTAGGAAGTGGAACGTTTTTGTGGAGCCAAAACAGTCAGGGAGATGTCTGACATCAGGTAAAAGGTTCAAAGATGAAACCTTTTATTAAAGAATCTTTCAGTGTGACCTGTGCCCCTTTCCTGGAGTCGCAGTGTCCTGACGGTTCTTAATTAGAAACTACAGGGAGTGAGGGGTTAAGTAATCCATAACAGAATGATGTATTCATTCAAGCTGATTAGCAATGATCAGGTGTTCTTTCCATTTATGTAAACAGATACACGTCCTGGTAACTGGTCGTTCGGGTGCAGTCAGACATTTGACAAAATATTTGATGAACTGTCAAGTCAAATTGATAAATAAATAATGATAAATAGGGTTGGGTACATCAGCTTAATAGTGCGCATACACATGCATGCATGCATGCACACACACATGCACCACCTAATTTATCATGCATGACATGTCACTGAAGAGACCACAGCAGATTCATTGAAAAAAAAATGAATGGATAAATGAATCATATTTTGAAAACAAAAGATTTTCTATATTCGGTTCGATGGGGCCATTTGGTTGATTGCAGAGTCAAGGGTCACCACCTCCAATGAAGGAAACATCTCCCGGTGTTTGTAGAACCCAGCATGGTGAGACGGTGAGCTAATTATTTGGTTCTGGTGTACTTGAGTAGGAAACATATGAAACTTGCAGGGTGATGCTTTGTTCACGGAAAACTAGAAAAGAGAAGAAAGATACTTTGCCAGGTTTCAGAAGTCCTGGCATTGAACTTGTTATATAAATTTAATGTTTTATTATTTCTTGATCATTAATCCTATTAACTGAATGTATTACTCTATGCCTGAAAGCATTCTCATTCATTCAGACACACCCACACATTCCTGTAACCATTCAGGCACACACACACACACGTTCATTTCCACACACACACCTTCTGTTCCTTTCTTATCTCATGTTATAAATAAACTTGAAGGGCTGATGTTCTTTGCAGTAGTAAGACTCAACCATTGCTTGAGCCTCTGCCCTTTTTGCAAACAGTAACTTGTCTGGGTAATTGTCTTTCTTTTCTCTTCGACTGCAGGTTTTAGGTGATTGATAAAATCCCTAACAGCACTTCACTCTGTTTGTTTGTCTGCTGGCTTCGGATGCCAAGTCTTGACAGCATGGATGACTATACTCCTCATCCTCATGAGGACGATGCTGCGCCTCTACCTCACCTTCACCTGGAGACACAGATTTTCACACCCGCCCAGTTCCAGCATGTAAATAAAGTATTCCTTTTGCACAAAGATGCTATTTGGCCAAATTAACTAAGCACTATTAAGTTTTCGAGGATGGAGCGCTCTGAGGATCATGTTTGCTTATTTCTCTTGTGCATTTGATGGTTTCTGCAGAATGCTTCTGAGAAGCCAGTTCTCTCTACATTTATCCAGATCAACGAAAAGCAGACAACCCAAACAGGTGAAACTCAGAAATATTGAATATTGTGCAAAAATTCCTTTATTTCAAAAAATTAATAAGAGGCTGTAATAACTTAAAAAAAATTTAACATTGTACAATTCAAATTCCCTTTCCCTTTAGGAGGTACTTATTTTTCATTCCAGCTGTTGGACTGAGGTTACATCCAGATGTTACAGTACCCAGCATCTAGCTGTACAAAGTGGGACAACAGGAACAAACTGAAATCAATAACTGAGTCACAAGTGAAGAAAGATCATCCTACAGTGAAAGTCAGAAAATTGCATCGTCAACCATTTTATTATCGCTTCACAAGCCTCTGAATCTCAATCTAATATGTGATTCCTATCTGCACATTTCCAAGAAGTTCCTTTGCAGAAATGTCGATACGGACCTCTGATTCAGACATATCTGATAAAACAAGTCTGAAACCACTGGTTTAAGTCATCATGCATTAGACACAGACAAATCGGTTTGTTTTTTTAATTCGTCTCTCAGGCAGGTTTAACAGCTTTTGTTAGTATTGCACTTTGATGCCTTCACCCTCCTGACAGTAACCTGCAGAAACACAAAGAAAAGTCAGTTTGATATCGAATCCAGGCTAAAAAATAAACGTAGGCGTCACTTTAAAAAAGGAAACACATAAAAGCGAATGACCTTTCTCAGGATTGTGTCGGTAGTATGGCTCTCCAGAGTAACCGAAGCAGCGCGCCTGCTTTTTGAAATGCTCCAGATCAGAGTCCTTCAGGGTGGACTCCCTGCCTAGAAACACACAAAATGGTTTAATCCAACTGTCACATGAGTCAGTTTCTCTATTTTACTGGTTTTCACTTACCTAAGAAATAAAGAGCTCGAGTGTGGATCTCATCCGCATCAGTAACATGGTTGATGGTGATGTTCGAAATGAAGACCAGACAGCCATCACAACTGGGCAGGATGTGGGAGACGGACCTCCCGTTCGAAACTAGAGACAAATGCAAAAAACAGATTTAATAAACAACTACTCTTTTGGGTTGAAGATACACTTTTGTAATAAATAAATAAATAAATAAATAAACCCATGCAGTACGCTGTATGGGATTTCACTGGGTATCCCATATTTCTCCCACAGAACCAATAAATTGTCCCAGATGTGAACAATACAGAAAATACATAGATGAGTATGAAATAACGAGAAAAATGTAAATAAATTACTTTTACAAAAACAAATGAGAAATGACCTTGTAATGAAAGCAGCAAAAATTAAAAAGCAAAAAATAAAAAAGAATATTTGAATACAAAGGAAAATGGCTACAATTATAATCAAAACTACAAGAACTAAAGAAAAGAATGTCTTTAATTCCTTATTTTATAAAACATATTTTAATTGGAATTTTTATGAATTTATTATTTATAACAAATAGTTTTGATATTTTGAACAATACTTCATCTGTAGATCAAAAACTCAAATGGTTTAAACCAGGGGTGTCAAACATGCAGCCCGCGGGCCAGATCCGGCTCGCAAGCGGGTTAAATCCGGCCCGCGAGATGGTTGTGTAAACTTTATTTTCATACTTTACAATGTAGAGTTAAAATAAACTTATCTTTGTGAGCAAGTTTTCTCTGTAATGAGTATAAATAAAACAAAGCTGCGCTCAAGGCGCACACAAGAACTTGAATCACATCCTGAAGTTGGCCGCCACTCAGGATGTGATTTCTGATATTGATGTGCTGGTGAAAGCTAAAAGATGTAAAGTAAAATGAGTCAAATATACTTTTAAGTGCTGCATGAAACTGATCTTGCCATGTCATCTGTAAGCTCTTTGAATCACTAAGGAATGTTTTTTTATTTGTTGATTTTTTTCTTTCTAATTTTAAAGTACACTTCAGGTGTTGTACTTGTACTACACTGTCCTCAGGCTCCAGCCTTGTTTTATAATGATTGTATTAAAACAAAGAAAATCTTAAGGTTTTTTTATTTTATTTACCGGTCCGGCCCACTTGGGAGTAGATTTCCCTCAATGTGGCCCCTGAGCTAAAATGAGTTTGACACCCCTGGTTTAAACATTTAGTGCCCGTCTTTGAGTTTAACCTGCAGGCTTTTGGCTCTTTGTGTCAGATCAGGTCAGTAAACTCACAGAATGATGTCACTGTGTTGCCGTCCAACGTCATGTTGAACAATGTAGTAAGGCAGGTTCCATTACGGGGAAAATATCAAAAGAAAAAGGAAATTCATACATTTACATGTTTCTGGGGAATAGTAAATAATGAGACATTTAAAATTTGTGCTTTTTAATACAAAAAATAAGAAAAATATTAAAGAGCAAGTCGCCCCCTACAAGAAACTTACTTCACTCCCACTTCCTGTTTGTAAAATGCAACAAATGCTGTTGCCTAGCAGACCGAGAGGGCAGAGCTGCTAACAAATACACACACACACACACACACACACACACACACACACACACACACACACACACACACACACACACACACACACACACACACATGCTCACACGCTCGCACACACTCACACACACGCTCACAACGACATTGTGACATCATATTGTACCAGCTAATGTTCTAGGGTAACTCTTAGCCAATAGCGATGGCAGATTTAAATTCAAATGCAGTGCAGAGTTTTTACCTAACAGCACAACACTGACAGTTTTAGGCAGAAAATTTAAATTTGAACTAAAATGCAGTAAAGTGCAAAACTGTTGACTACACGTGTCTGCAGTACGATTAGACACACATTTATATAGTTTATCAGAAAAAAAGTTGATTTGGGGGTGACTTGCTCTTTAAAGATCTTTGGCTCTGAAAATGTTTATAACTTAAAACAAACACTGTAAAAGATGAAATCTAATTTTTTTTTGGACCAACATGCACTGAGGCAACATGCTTTAATCACAGATTAGTGAGAGCTTAAAGTGTGTTTTACCAGCTTTTCCATTAAAACTCACATCTTGTTCTCCTGAGTCTGGAGCACCTGAGAACTGCTGGATGGAGACGCTGTGATGTTCACCCAGGAGCTGTCGGTCATCTTAATGACTGATTTATAGAAATCATGATCCGTGTACAATGCAAGCAAGTGTTTTCTGCCAAACATCTGCAGACAGAAACCAGGATGTTGGAGAAGACTTTTAAGATGTTCTATTAAAGAGCATGCTCACAGAGAAACGGGTGAACGGAGGCAGTGGAAGAGTTGCATTGCTGTTAACCAATCAGAGGCTAGATATATGAATTTTATGAATTATAATAAATGTTACATGAAGGGGTAGGAGACACATTTAGGGAAGGGGGTGGAGTCCAGATACCGTGTTTGTGTTTAAAAACTAGCTTGTTTTGCAGACTCGCTGTTGCAGCTTTAAAGCCATCACTCCAGTCTTCCACACAAACATTTTTTTTTCTTTTTTAAATTTGTTTCATATGAAATGTCAAAAATCAGCGGAGAAAAGCTTAATTTTCTCTGACTGACACATAGAATTAAGTAAGCAGTGATTAATGAGAGGTTGTTTACCACAGAGGGGTCGGCCAAAGATAAAGGTTTTGCCAGCTGCTTGCACTCTTCAGGTGTTGGATCTGAGCTGAGAAACAGAGAAGCAAAAAGGATGAAACCACTCGGCTTCTGACTCATGATGCTGTAGACTAGAGGGACCCAGAATAACCTAGAAGGGAGGTTTCCATTACAAGAATTTATCTGTGAGTTTAGGGTAGAAGAAGAAGAAGAAGAAGAAGAAGAAGAAGAAGAAGAAGAAGAAGAAGAAGAAGAAGAAGAAGAAGAAGAAGAAAATATAATTTCTATAGCGCCTCTCAAGATAAAAATCATGAGGCACCTCACAAAAACAAAAAATGTAAAAATATAAAAAAGCATTTAGAAAATTGTTTAAAATATATTTAAAATGAGCAAAGAATAGTCAATTGTGATTAAAATAATGTTAAAAAAGAGAGAGTGAACAGGAAAGAGGGAAATTAGTGGATCCTGAGGAAGGTGGAATAGGTGGGAAGAGCAGAATAAAGAGAGAGTGGTGGAGAAGGTCATACAAAAGCCAGCTTGAACAAGTGAGTCTTCAGCTGCTTTTTGAAGGAGTCCACTGAGTCCACTGATCTCAGGCTCAGGGGGAGAGAGATCCAGAGTCTGGGGGCCACAGCAGCAAATGATCTGTCATCTTTGGACTTTAGCCTGGTGCTGCACAACCAGTAGGCTTTGATCACTGGACCTCAGGGACCTGCTGGGGGTGTAGGGTCTAAGAAGATCACCAAGTAAGATGGTGCTTGTCCATGTAAGGCCCTATAGACCAGAACCAGGATCTTGAAATGAACCCTGAAGTTGACTGGCAGCCAGTGAAGCTGGAGGAGAAGCGGGGTGATGTGGGTGTGTTTGGAGGACTTGGTCAGAAGCCGAGCACAGGCATTCTGAACCACCTGTAGACGTTCAGGGAGGTTCTGCTCAGACACGTGAAAAGAGAGTTACAGTAGTCTAAGCGTGAGGAGATGAAAGTGTGGATAACTGTCTCAAGTTCAGAGCGGGACAGAATGGGACTCAGCTGAGCAATGTTCCTGAGATGGAAGAAGGAAGAGCGAACAAGAGAACTGACATGAGAATCCAGGGTGAGAGCTGGGTCAAAGGTCACACCAAGATTCCTGACGGAAGGTTTGATGTGAGAAGCAAGCTGACCAAGAGGGTCTCTGACTTTGGGAACCAGCTTGTTTGGGGCACAGATGAGGATCTCAGTCTTATCTTCATTCAGCTGAAGAAAGCTCCCACCATCCAGGTTTTGATAGAGTCTAAGCAGGAGTGTAACAGCTGCAGCTTAGACATCTCATGGGGCTTAAAGGAGATGCACAGTTGGATGTCATCTGCATAAAGATGGTAGGAGATTCATTTGAAGGAGCTCAGGATGTGCGGAAGAGGAAGCAGATAGAGGAGGAAGAGCAGAGGCCCCAGCACAGAACCTTGTGGGACACCATGAGTAAGAGAGGTGGTGGAGGACCTAAACTTGGAGACGGCCACAGAAAAGGAGCGCTCAGAACGATAAGAGGAGAACCACTACAGAGCAGTTCCTGATGGGCCTACCCAGTCTCTCAGCCTCTCCAGTAGCAGGTGATGGTCAACAGTGTCAAAGGCTGCAGTCAGGTCCAGCAGGACCAGAACAGAACAGTCCCCTGCATTACTGTGAGTCAGAAGGTCATTAGAGACCCTAAGAAGAGCTGTTTCAGTAGAATGAGCTCTACGAAAACCTGACAGGAAGCTATCATAGATGTTATGTTCATCAAAAGCAGCTGTGAGTTGTTTAACCACAACCTTTTCCAAGATCTTGGTGATGAACGGAAGTTTAGAGATGGGTCTGAAGCTGCTATGGAGAGAGAGGTCAAGGATTTATCACTGGGTGATATTTAATACAACACTGCATCCTGAAAAATCACAAACTTAGTCTTGAACTGTTGCTGTTTGAATCAGAGTCAGTGCCCCATCCTTCTGTGTTGTGTTGGGTCTGGCCCAAGGGGCTATTTTGGTCAGCATTTTTTGAAGCCAAGAAGGAGTGGCTAAAATCGCAATTCCACCGTCATCCACTAGGGGCTGGCACCAGAAGTGAGCAAATCCTCATTGACTCCCATCTTAAAAATGCCAATTTCACAGCAGAAATAAACATGTTTACAGCCTGGTTCAAAAAACCAATTTAGGTTTAATAGAACTAGTTTACATTCATGACAACTCTGAGGGGGGTGAATTGATTTGTAACTCTTTTGTTTAAAGGTAATTAAATGCTTAAAATTCTGATTAATTAATGAGCACCAGAGCCACGTGACTTCAGAGCTAGCAATGGGAACTAGCTCCAGGGAAAGGCCTCAGCTTGGGCCCCACGTTAATAGATGTTCGGCCATTCTGAATGTCTGAACTTTAGCTGTGTCCTCTTTGTGTTCGTGTTTGGATGCTAATCATGGAATTGTTTGGACAAAGAGGGCAAGCTGTGGTTACTAGAATCCAAGCAGTTTCTGTTTATTTTTTATCATTAAGTAAAATTATTTTTCTGTACTTCATTTTGCTGGTTGAATGGGGCGAAATGCTGTGTCGTTTAACTGCTTAGTCAAACATGTGGGGCTGCTGGTAGGATAAGAAACTCGAGCGGGTGCCCGACTTCTCCTGTCTCCTGCCTGGGAACAGTTTGTTCAAGCAGTCGACTGGCTATTCCCATTTCCCGGGGCAGCCTGGACGAGGTGGCTGCGATGTGGGGCTGTAGTCATCCTGGTCACTTGTGGATCTCTGAGGGAGACCACAGAAACACCTCAGTTCTTTAAGTTGATGCTGCTTCACTTTCGAGTTGCCACAATCTGGGAGTGTCAGCTCAGCCCCCAGCTCTGTGTCGACACAACACTGAGGTAACCGAGTTGACAAGGTCAGACTCACAGATCTTTGACCACGGTGGGCCAGCGAAGCCCGATATCCTCGGTCAGCTTATCTAGTTTTGATTTCATTACTAAGCAGGCCAGAGGTGACCTCAGTGAGGCCACCTCACTCCACTGCAGTTTTCTTGCTAAAATGCCTTGAAAAACCCTGTCAGCTTTGGTTTAGCATTTAGCTAATGTCCCACATATCTCCAACAGTGGATCATGAGCTGATGTGAAAGGCCATGGCGCCTGGCTACGATCGCAGCGGTCTGCTTGTTTTTAACAGTCCCAATCCATAGTAGATCTCCACAGGCTACCATCATGGCTACAGCCTCGCACGAGAGCCAGTCAGTCATGCAGATGGGCTACCCCAGAGCCCTTAGCTTCTTGAGTTAGGTACGTTAGCTAGCAGCTTCACTGGTTCGTTTGTTCTAACCCTGTTCCAAACATAACAGCCCCACCCTCAGCTCCACCTCTTTTCCCAGTTTTGGATTGTCTGGGTGAGACGGGACCTGTGACACAGTCAAAAAAATCAGTGGCGGGAACCTCCCATTCTTCAACCCTCCATTCAACCTGCCACCTGCGGTACAATGTCCATATTTTTGTATGTCAATGGTCTGGCCTGATTTTTATGTCAGTTCAAGGCAGCATGAGCCGACTGTCGAAGGCAACAGGATCTTTAAAGTTCAGCAGGTTATCGATTACAACACCCACATTTCTAACTACTTGTGATAGAGAAACAAACATCAGTTTGGAAGGCAGTGGGATTACAAGAAGGACTGACTCTTGTGAATGCGGCAGCCTGAGGCCTTCTCCCTCCTGACAGAAAGCTGCAGAGACAGAAAAGAAAATTTCAGCATGAACTGAAATCCAGGTAAAAAGTTACAACAAAAGAAATGTAAAAGTGACTGACTTTTTATAGGATTGTAGCGGAAGTCTGGGTCTCCAGAGAAGCCGAGGCAGCTTGCCTGCTTCTTGAAATGCTCCAGATCAGAGTCCGTCAGGGTGAACTCCCTGCCTAAAAAAATGCTGGTCATCTGACTGTTATATGAGACCATTTGTCCATCTTACAAGTTTCTTCCTACTTAAGAGGTAAAGAACTTGAGTATGGATCTCATCATCCTCAAAGGCCTCCTTGATTTTCATCAACTTGAGGAGCTCCTTCATGTGTCTGGCAGTGGAGTTGATACTGAAGACCAGACAGCCATTGCAGCTCGGCAGGACGTGGAAAACAGAGTTTATGTTGGGAACTGGAGACATACACAAAATCATCAACCATTTCAAACAGGTGCTTTTTTTGACTAGGAGAACCACCCCTCACGTGCAAGAGAGAGCTACTGCTGGAGGAGCAAATATGTTTTGTATGAAACATAATAAAAAAATACTCCTAATATGTCACCTTTGAATAATAAAAAGAAATTAACATGCAATAAGATCAGACGAAAGAAAAATAGTAAAATACAACGAATGCTGAGGAGGAATAAAAGCTACAGATATACTGCGTTTTTTTCCCCTTTACAGTTTATTAGGTATTTATAATAAGAGGTTTTGTGCTGGTAAAGGTTCTCAGTCATCCAGGTCATGGTAATCCAAAGAGGTTTGAATAAAGGCAACAACTACACAAACACATGGCCCAACACAGGTGAACTACCTCTTTAGCGCAAGTCTCAGCAATCCACTTACACCAGAAGGACAAGGGACACACTTTTGAAGATGACAAAATGCACATTCTGGACAGAGAAAATAGATGGTTTGAGAGAGAAGTAAAGGAAGCTGTTTTTGTCAAATGGGAACGGTTGACATTAAACAGAGGAGGCCTCAAGTTTGACCTTTCCAGCACCTATAATGCAGATTTAATTCCAAAACAGTTTCAGTCCAGATCACACCCTCCTGATTCTAATCCAAACACCATTCCCACATGTTGGGGTTATTAAGGAAGCGAATAATTTGTAAGCTTTTACTGACTTTTGGATTCTTCAATAAATTCTGTAAATATGGGAACATTTACCGATTTATTAATTCATTAAGATACAATTAGGTATCTTCGGGGCACCATCCCCTTTTAACCGGGAAAAATTGAATCCAAACTCTTATCAGTGTCTGAAAGTTCGTGGAATCGTTCTAGGAGCAGAAATTTTCACACTGACACAAACAAGTCACTGGAGGCAAACTGAATGTTATAACATTTAATTAAACAAACATTAATAATGTAAAACAATGGTATAATTGAAAATGTGTGTGTAAAATGGAGGATGTCCCCAAGTGATGGATTTGTTTTAGTGGTGAGTCCCCACAAACACTAAAAACGTGTATGTGTGTGTGTGATGGATCTGTTTTAGTGGTGAGCCCCCCCAAACACTAAAAACGCGTATGAGTGTGTGTGTGTGTGTGAGATGGAGGGTGTGTGAATGAAGTTCTTTGTTCTCACAGAGAAGGTGCATGTGTGTGTGAATGGAGATGGCATGAGGAATGTGAGCTGTAAGCGGTGACTTTCCTCTCTCAGATGCAGACAAAAAGGAATTACCTTGCATTTAGTGACTTAAAAATTACAGTGTAACTGAACTTAAACACTTCAAAAGTTAACAAAACAACAAAGATCACTCATAAATTATTTAATCTAAAACAGAGTCGACCAGCCTGGCCACAGCTGACCGATAATAACCGAGATATTTAAATAATAAACAAAAGATCTAACTTCACGGTAATCCGGCGTTTTGGTCCGGAGATAGAGGAAAACCGATGGTATTTTGAAGCAAATCATGCGGTTGACTGCTTATTTTAGTCTAAAAGAGATGGAAGAAGTAGTTAGATAGGAAAAAAACAAAAGCTTGCGCGAGCGAACCAAAGGCGTCCCTTTGTTCTTTCGCGTTGCAGGTCAGATGATTTCTCCGTTGTTTCTCCGCAGCCAGGCCCCGCACGCTGTCCAGTGGGCAAACGAGTGTTTCTCCAACTGGGGCTGGACACAAAGAGAGCGAAGTTTCACTTTGTGCTGAGTTTTATAACTTAAAGCGTCTCCGTATGGTTTGATGGCTTGTAGTTGCTTTCCAGCGGCTCGGTGTTTGCACTCTTCAGGCCCCCAGGCCTCGTGCACACGTTATCCGGAGCCGTAGTCAGCGAGCGTGTCCTCCACCGCCAGTTAAACTGGGCAAAAGAACGATACGTTTTGTTTCTGTCTCTCGTTTTACAGACTCGGGAGCTGTTGTTGTGGGTTCTGCGCATGCACAGAACCCGTGCTCCGCCTTGGCGGTGACGTCATCGCATTGCTTCCGTGTGCAAAGCATCATGGGAAATGAAGTGTCAGCTGGCGCTGATGTTTATTATTTGCTTTTTCAGAGCAATTTAGCACAGTCTTTTGGAGAAAATCACTGCCCAGTAATTTCTCACGAGGGCAGACCCTCAACACACATAATAGGGGCTAACAACTTCAGTGACTCCTCAGAGGATAGGGGGGAGGGGTATTCATGAGTAGTTTCATCTTGTTAAGCAACAACAGCTAGCTACAGTTTATAAGTTTAACCCTCTCATATTCCAGTCAGAATTGACAAAACTCCTCAGATGAGAAGCAAAACATCTTCAAGAAACCAAAGAAGTCCAGTTGCCTTCACACAAACTCCTTTGGATTACCATGACCTGGATGACTGAGAATCTTCATCAGCATTTTGACTTAAGCTTTCAGAGCACATCCTTGTGTTAAAACTTTGGTTAAAACAAAAGCAGATGCATTAAGCAATTTCTTCTGCAGGTTATGATTGTTTGCTTGAGATTAGGATAGGAAACTCACTTGATGCTCTTGCTGTGTCTCCGTCTATCGTCACGCTTACTGTTGAACCAAGACAGATCCCACCACTGGAGAGATGTCAAGAAGCAAATTATTAAAAAAATGCTCCGTAGAGAATAGTGAACCAGACAAATATGAAGAATTAAAACGCACATTTTCATCATTACTAGTTTTCTTAACTAAATAAGGGTAGTATTAAAGACGTCTGTTCCTGAAAATGTTTCTTAATTACTTAAAGGTGTGGTTGACCGAAAGATCATTTTAAAATTATTATTTCTGTTTATAATCAGTCACTCTGAGTTTTTCATGCAGTCTGAACATGAAATCAGTTTTCTACACCTATCTCCTGCTTTAGCTTCTGATGGAAAATAGATGGTGAAATTCTAAGATTTGAAAATCCTTACACTGTGATGTCACAGTGTGGATTTGCACTCACCCATCTTGGCTCGCGCCCGCCCATAGGAAGGCTTTTAAAAATTTGTTTTGCAGCGAGGAGAGGGAGCAGAGAATGTGTTTGTGATACTGACTTTGCAACATGGCTGAACGAGCCAATCAGAAGTGAGTTGTGTGCATATTATTAATAATAATGAGTAATCCTGCTGCTTGCAGCCCACCTCCAATCTTGCACCAGCAATCTTTTGCACCTCAGAACAGGAGAATCATAGCTTTGTTTTTTCTTTGATTACTCCATTGATTTACATTGGAGAACACTCAAATGTACTGAATAAACAAGTAAACCACACCTTTAAAACAATTCCTGCAAAAGATGAGATCAAAACTTTTTTTAGGCCAATTTTCTGATGCAAAGCATGTTGCTAATCCAGATTAGGAACAGCTAAAAATGACATTTTGTTCTGCATTTTTTTTCATTACTCACAACTTGTTCTCCTGAGTCATGAGAACCTGAGTGTTGCTGGATGGAGATGCTTTGATGTTCACCCAGGAGCTCTCAGTTATCTTTAGGATGGCTTTATAAACTTTATGGTGTAGTAACCTGCAATGAAGTGCATTTTGCCAAACATCTGCAGAAAGTAAACAAGATGTTGGTTAAAGATGTTATTTTATTATTTGTGAATATTGTAACATTATAAAGACAGGTTACAGCTTTCTGAAACTGGTCAATTTTTCTATAAAACATGTATATTAAAACATATAACTGAAGTCTAATTTAAAATAATTTTTTTAAAGTACCATTTACAGCAGAAGCCATGTAAACAATTTATTGAAGGCACCTGATAAGGAGACACGAGCAGCACTACACTTCAAAGTTTAATAATGAAAGAAAGAAAAACTCTAGTTTTTCTTTCTTTTTTCAGATTTGTATTTTAAACCATGTTTCATTGTTAGTCAGACTTTTTAGTAATTAAAGCCACAACCCCAAATTATTATTTTTGTAATTGTTTTATGTTCAATCTAAAAATAAATCAGCCACAGAAACTGAAATGAACTCAATTTTCTCTTACTGACTCATCAAACATCAGTGATAAATGAGAGGTAGTTTACCATGGAGGGGTCAGCCAAAGATAAAGGTTTCACCAGCTGGTTGCATTCTTCAGGTGTCGGAGCTGAGCTGCACAGAAACAGCGAAGCAAAGAGGATAAAACCACTCAGCCACAGATTCATGATGCTACAGAGGGACATGGGACAAAAGAACAAGATCTAAACCCTCAAGAAGGAACTTTCCACTTCAGAACTGAGTGTCTGACTGCATTTTATACACTCAGGCAAGGTTAAAATCTGTGGGTTTTCCAGTTGTTGAGTAAGACTGGACGATTTAGGGGGCATGTATTCCCTTTTACACAGATGTGGAAAAAAAGTAAAAACAAACAAAACAGATTTATTTGATAGTCCAAAGACGTCTTTTTTTATGAGGGATTTAATCAGGATTCTGTAGAGTTTTTGTATTAATTATTTACTCCTTTGTTTATTTTACGTGACCTTTGCAACAACATCGACTAACATAAAACCTCTGAGACTTTAGACTGATTTTAAACTCGGAACAGTGGGATGCATCTCGACTTCCACCAACCCCTAACCTAATGATGCATTTGCCTCTAGAATTTTGTCTAGATCACTGAAATGTTTAATTTACATTAATGACAGAAGTAAAAGAATAATCAAATATTCAATATCTGCACATTTGTGCATCAATGGTTATGTTTGTTTGTATATATTTTTTTATTAAATCTATAATTTTATCATTTTCATAGGGGCTAAAAGACCAAAGGAGAGGTGTGAGGGATTTTGAATTAAAAACAGACTAGAAACAATTTACAGGTGAGTTCCAAACAGTGATGATGGTAAGTGAAGAGGTATAGCACACAGAAAAGCATGTGGGATAAATAGCCACAAGGAAACATTTTCATTTACACAAGATTAGAGAGCACAAACAACTAAACAATATTTGTAGATGTCATGAACTCCTCCTCTTAACCTCCTCTGCGGGCCTGGCTGGCACTGCACTCCACTTCCCAGCATCCCTGTCACCGACGCTACCCGGTGATGTCATCCCGCTGAGCCTATTTAAGGACCTGTCACAGCTGAGCCGGCACTCAGTCATCATCTCATGATAGACGCCAACCCATTCTAAGACAACTAAGCCTAATCTGCCAACTCTGAAAACTCTCAAAACCATCCGGGAAGAGAACTTCCCACACTGTCAACAGTCTCAACACCAAACACCAGCCTCTCCGCGCCTGGGTCTCAAAGCCACACTCCAGCTCAGCCGATCGCTCCTGACAGGATGACTGAGTCTCGAGTAGACCCAGCGGAGATCGCACAGCTGCGAGCAGACGTGGCACAGCTGCTCAGCTGCGTAGAACGCCAGGAGGTGAAAACGCCAAACTTCGGATTGAGAACAACCAGCTTCGTGCTGTTACGGATCGCCAAGCATCCAAACTAGATTCTGTCACCGAACTGGTCGTCCAACTCTCCTCGGCACTCCAACGTCAGGCATCTGCCACTCCTAACATTGTGGAGCCGTATCTAAGTCTCCCCGACAAATGGGATGGGACTAAAGGATCCCCGGAGGGCATGTTGGCCGTCCTGTCAATGACTTTCGAGTGTCAGCTGGCACGCTACCCGACTTCCTGCTCTCGCGTTGCCCTGTTAACCTCCCTGCTGACGGGGCGAGCCGGTGAATGGGCGGCTGCCCTGTACAACCAGAAGTCTCCCGTGTGCAACGATTATGAAACCTTCGTGAAGGAACTGAAGAAGGCATTTGTGCATCCCAGCAGCGAGGTCGCAGACGAGACACGCCTGCTCCAGCTTCGGCAGGGCTCTCAGACCGTGGCCGAGTATAGGTCACGCTTCCGGACCACCGCTGCCCGTCTGACCTGGGGTGATGCCGCGGTGAAGGCTGTGTACTTGGAGGGATTGTCACCTCGCATCTGGGAGGGCATGATCGGACACGAGGCCCCGACCTCCCTGGACCAGGCTGTGGACCTGGCTCTCCAGCTGGATCGCTGCCTTCTCACCAGACCAGGAGCGAGGGCGGTTCCCATACAACCCAGAACGTTCCCCCGCCGTCAGGAGAACCAACCCACGGAGGAACCCATGCAACTGGGTCATTTGCCCCCCGAGGAACGGGCGCGCCGGTTTCGGGAGGGACGATGCACCTATTGTGGGGATCTGGGCCATCCCCGGGCAACATGCCCCGTACGCCCGGGAAACGGTTCCTCCGGGTCGGTGTAGGAGCGGTCTCACCCGGAGCCTCCATTCATGCAGCTCCTCATCACACCACCCTCCCAGTCTCCTTCCAGCTTAACCAAGGACCGGTGCCCCTGGTGGCTCTCCTCGACACCGGAGCTGCAGAAAACTTTATCGACCAGGGTTTGGTCAACCGGCTCAGGATTCCACTCACTCTCCTCGACCGTCCCGTTCCCGTCACTTCTGTGGACGGTCGCCCTCTCATGCCATATCCTATCACGCACCGAACCCAGAACCTCCGGACGTCCATCGAGGAACACTTGGAGACCCTTCATTTCCTGGTCATTCACGCCCCCATGACTCCTCTCATTCTGGGTCATTCCTGGTTCCGCCTCCACGACCCTCACATCTCTTGGTCTACCAGTAAAGTCATGGTGTGGGGTGGTAGCTGTCGCCTCCACCGTCTGTCTCCAGGATCACAGCCTAGGGCGACACCACCCAAGGACGTGGATTTAACCCTCCTTCCACCCCAATACCACGATCTGGCTCGGGTTTTTGCAAAGGAGCCTACCACCAGGCTGCCTCCCCATCGACCCTACGATCTGGAGATCAGGCTCCAGCCAGGAATCACACCGCCTCGGGGTCGGCTGTTCTTGCTCTCTCCGGCAGAAACCCAGGCAATTGACACTTATATCAATGAAGCTCTCCAGAAGGGGTTTATCCGCCATTCCACGTCTCCTGGAGCAGCAGGGTTCTTCTTTGTGAAGAAGAAGGAGGGAGACCTCCGGCCCTGTATAGACTATCGTGGGTTAAATAAGATCACCATCAGAGATCGCCATCCTCTTCCTTTAATGAGCACGGCTTTGGACGCCACTGCCCAAGCCACCCTGTTTACAAAGCTGGTCCTCTGCAGTGCATACAACCTCATCCGCATAAAGGAAGTAGAGGAGTGGAAAACCGCTTTTATTACACCCACTGGACATTATGAGTACCTCGTCATGCCCTTCGGCCTCTGCAACAGCCCTGCCGTTTTTCAGCGTTTCATCACTGATGTCCTCCGTGACATGCAAGGCCATTGGGTTTTTGTTTATTTAGACGACATCCTCATCTACTCCCGCACTGCCGAAGAACACACCCAGCATGTTCGAGCCGTTCTGTCATGCCTCCTGGAGAATGACTTATTCTGTAAACTGGAGAAGTGTGCCTTTCACCAGGAGTCCACCTCGTTTCTGGGGTTCATCATCTCCTCCCAGGGCCTACGCATGGACCCACAGAAAGTTCAGGCGGTAGCACAGTGGCCACTACCTAAGAGCCTGAAGCAGCTGCAGAGTTTCCTGGGGTTCTGCAACTTCTATCGCCGGTTTATCCGCAGTTTCAGAGCCCTGGCATCACCATTAACTTCCCTGACTAAGACAACCAAGCAGCCTCGCCCTTTCCGCCTTCCCCCGGAGGCCGTTGCCGCCTTCCATCATCTGGTCCGCTGCTTTGTAAGCGAACCCATCCTCCTCCACCCGGACCTAACACGACCCTTCGTTGTGGAGGTAGACGCCTCTGAGACGGGCACGGGAGCCATACCATCACAACGGGGCCTGGACTCCAAACTCCACCCCTGCGCATACTTTTCCCAGAAGTTCTCTCCTACTCAGCAGAACTATGGGGTCGGGGACAGGGAACTGTTGGCGATAAAGTGGGCCCTGGAGGAGTGGCGACAGTGGCTCCTGGGTACTCCCACTCCTTTTCTAATCTGGACTGATCATCAGAACCTCATCCATATTCAGACCGCTCGCCAACTCAACCCTTGTCAGGCCCGGTGGGCCCTCTTTTTCGAGCCTTATAACTTTCAATTCGCCTACCGCCCCGGCTCAAAGAACCTCAGGGCGGACGCCCTTTCCCGTCAGCACACCCAGGATCCAAGGCCTCCTGAACCGATGTCCATCCTCCCAACCGAACGGTTCTTGGCCGCCCTGCAATGGCCCCTGGAAGCCTCCATCCGGGCGGCTCTCCCGGCTGACCCGGCGCCCCTAGAGACGCCTCCTAACTGCCTTTACATTCCGGCCGTGTGTCGACAGGAGGCCTTGAGGTGGGGGCATAGCTCACGGCTCGCGGGACACCAAGGCCAGGCTCGTACCCTCCAGTTCCTCCGCCGGGCTCTGTGGTGGCCCTCTATGAGAAAGGACGTGCGTGAATACACCGCTGCATGCGACACCTGCGCCCGGTCTAAGTCCTCCACCCAACCTGTAGCCGGGGAATTGCAACCGCTCCCTGTGCCCAAACGGCCGTGGTCGCACATAGGTGTGGACTTTGTGACGGGGCTCCCCGCTGCCGACCACCTGGACACCATCCTCACCATCACCGACCGCTTTTTGAAAGCTGTGCACTTAGTGGCTATGGCAGGGCTACCCACGGCTAAGAAAACAGCGGAGCTCCTCCTCGATCATGTGGTGAGGCTCCACGGATTTCCCCAGGACGTGGTGTCTGACAGAGGACCCCAGTTCATCTCACGGTTCTGGAAAGCTTTCTGTCGGTTGGTGGGCGCTTCCACCAGTCTGTCGTCAGGCTATCATCCCCAGACTAATGGTCAGACGGAGAGGGCAAACCAGCAGCTCGGGTGATACTTACGCTGCTTCGCCTCGTCTCAACCGTCCACCTGGCCTCGTTACCTCCTGTGGGCGGAGCTCTCTCACAACCTCCAGACGTCCTCCGCCACGGGTCTATCGCCCTTCGAGACTTACTATGGATACCAGCCCCCTCTTTTCGACCATCAGGTGCCGGAGGTGGAGGTTCCGGCGGCTCAGGATATGGTCCGCCGCTGCCGTCTCGCTTGGATCAGGGCTCGCGCCGCCATCACCCGGGCTAACACGGAATACTCCCGACAACATCATCACCGCCACCGGCCCGGCCCTGTGTTCCAGCCAGGTGACCGGGTTTGGCTCTCTACAGCTAATCTCCGGTTGCCGTCTGGTTCCAGGAAGCTGTCTCCCTGCTTTTTGGGACCCTTCAAAGTCCGAGATGTCCTCGGTCCGGTCGCTTACCGGCTGCGCCTCCCTTCCGCTCTCAGGGTGCACCCT